TTCTAAGATATTATTCAAGGGTATGCTTTTCAATAAAATTGGAAAATTGAAGGCCATCGTGACCTTAGAACACCTGACCGTGTCGCTTATAAAACAAAATCGGATTCGGCAGGTCAGACATTTTAGAAATCTGTGATCGGCCAGAAAACTGCAATCGGTGCACCCCTCATGGCAAGCCATGTTGCTATATGGTTGGATTGTATGGCAATCCATGTTGCCATATAATTGAATCATGAGTCGCGCACATCCGCTGACTCAATCAAAAGCCTGGCCCGCACATTATGACCCAGCCCTAATCCGGGCCGGGCTGGGTTCGAGTTAGAAATGACAGCTCCATTTAAACAGGTCAGGTGTGTTGAAGCTGGGGAGCCTCTGCAGGATAGTGACCAGGACTGAGGACCACGGCTCGGCACCCTGTGGTCTGTGGTCAAGTTCAAATAAAAGAACGTCATAATGAAAATAGACTCATTTCAAAATTCACAGTGAAAACTTTTGATTCAGTGGTATAACTTTTTTTTTTTTTTAATATTTGATTTCTTTTAGAAATCATTCAAAAACAAAGTTTAAATCTAAGATTTGTTTTGTTAAAGAAGCAGATTAACTTGTATTCTGCATCTTAATCTACTTTAACTGTAAGAGGTCTCGAGGATTTAAAAAGAGAACGCAGAGTTTAACATAACTTTTTATCTCAGGGAAAACAATATATATATATTTAATTTTTAAGCAAGAAACAGAAAATGAAACTTTACCACAAACCGACAAGCAGAAAGTCTCACTTTTAAAGCATACTTTTCTAACCACAACTCGTGTGATTCAAGCTTCTCCTTTCTACATTTCTTTGGTTTTAGTTCTGCTCTGTCAAGACCCACTTAAAAGAAGTAAAGTGTATTTAAATCTGTTGTTCTTGTGTTAACCAGTTAACCTCCAGCTCCTGATTAAACAAACCCCTCCATCCAGTCTTAGTTTCAGCAGGAAGTGCTTAAAAACAGGAACACCGTTTAAAGGTTGCAGGAAGTTTCTGACATTATTCCTGTAGATTCGATTGTTTCACTCGGATTTAAAGGTTCATTTTGTTTTTCTGAGGAAAAAGCTATTTGGACCTGGTGTTTTCTCTCTGGAATAATAAAAATCCACAAGTCTCTTCAAAGGTCAACGGTGTTTTATTACTTCAGGGAGTGTGTGTGTGTGTGTGTTTGTATTGTGTTGTGTTGTAAGGCCATTTTTTCCAACATACTACATTATGTGGACCAACTGCTACGGCCCAAAACCCGTAAGAAGTGCTGTTGGTGGGTTAGGTTTAGGGTTGGGCTATAGCAGGGGTAGGGAACCTTTTTGGCTGAGAGAGCCATGAACGCCACCTATTTTAAAATTTAATTCCGTGAGAGCTATACAATATGTTTAAAACTAAATACAAGTAAATGTGTGCATTTTTTGTAAGACCAACACTTTTAAAGTACAATAAGTCTATGAATTATTTTTAATAGTGTTATGCTGTTGCTAACTGATGAATAAAGTACTTCTTACCATTAATGCAACTTCTGGTGCTGCATGGTATTGTAGTCTGGTTGGTACGTAGTGAGGTTAAGCTTCATGCAGGCATTGAGACTTCCATCTGTTAAACGTGATCGTAGGTTGGTCTTAATGTTCTTTAGATGTGAGAAAGACTGCTCACATGCATACGTAGAGACAAACATTGTCAGTACAGTCTGATGGGTTACATTACAATCGTGAACAGTTCTTGCTGACGGAGGCATGTCTTTTATTTGTTTATCTTGTCTTTATCCGTAAAGTCATCAAAAAGTTAATTGGCAACATAAATCATGAATGTTTTGGCATACTCACCATCTGTGAATGGCTTTCCATTTCTTACAATTGCTAAAGCACCAGCAAAGCTAGTCGAATTCCAGTCACCTTGTTGGGTCCAAACACGGAGTTGCTGCTGACTAGCTTGCACTCTGCACAGTAGCTCTTCACAGGCTTTCTTCCTGCTGTCCCCCGCAGGACATTTCGATGCAAATGTAGTATGGCTTGTCTCCAAGTGCCGCCTTATATTTGACCGTTTCATCGATGCATTTTTATCATTGCATATTAGACGCACTGCAGAACCTGCTCTCTCCACAAAAGCAACTTCTTCGGTCCATTCCTGATGAAAAGTACGATACTCCATCTCTTTCTTTTAGCCATCTTCTTCGATACGGGTTTCTACAACTAGCTCGTTGTTAGGGGGGAAATTTACTTCCTGGTCACGTCACCAGTGTACGTTACGCATTATCCGATTGGCTCCAGCCACCCATGGACAGCTGTGATTGGCTCCAGCCACCTGCAACCATGTTTTATATATATATATATTTTTTTTTGTTTGTTTGTTTTTATTAAAGATTTGTCTGCGAGCCAGATGCAGCCATCAAAAGAGCCACATCTGGCTCGCGAGCCATACATTCCCGACCCCTGGGCTATAGCTTCTACAGTCTGCGTTCAACATCATCCAGTCAGATTTGTTCTGTACTTGAGCTAAATGCTGATAAAACCAAAGGGATGTTTTCAAACAGGAAGTCTGTCCCAGCAGTTCTTCCTTCTATTTTATCCTCAAATGGTGTTCTTATTGAGTTTGTTGATTCTTATAAATACTTGGATAACTTGGTCGATTCACATCTCTCTCTTAAGCCTCATGTTGAAAACTTGGTAAAGAAACTGAAAGTTAAACTGGGTTTCTTTTTCAGAAACGGATCCTGTCTAACTCTGAATTCTAGAAAACGCCTTGTAACTGTGACTTTCCTTCCCTCCATTGATTCCGGTGACATTATTTACATGAACGCTCCTACAAGAACCCTGCAGATGTTGGACGCTGTCTATCATGGTGCACTAAGATTCATAACTGGCTACTGTAAACCATTACACCCAGTATTCACTGGTTAACTGGACATCATTAACTTCACACAGACTCTCTCACTGGTACATTTTCATCTTTAAATCACTTCTTGGTCTGTTGCCTTCATACATCTCCTCCTACATGTCTCTGCGTGAGTGCAGCTACAGCGTGCGCTCTCAGGACATTATTACCTGCAGTGTTCCCTCAGTGAGGACTGAACTAGACAAAAGGACCTTCTCCTACTCTGCTCCTGTTTCCTGGAACATCTTGCAAAAAGATCTGAAGCTCTCGACCTTGACCTCTCAAGTGGCTTCAAACATCTGTTAAGTTCCTGGTAAAAACCAACGCAGACATGTTCCTGTTTTTAGTTTTTTACATCACTTCATAACATAGCTGTTTTTTATTTTGTTTTATATCCTTTATTTACTTTTCATTTTATATTCTTTTATATGATTGTTTATTTTCTGTATCTCATCTGTTATTTGTCTAAATCAGGTCTCTCTTGTAACTGAGTCCTTGAGGCTCATTGAGACCAACCTGTATAAATTAAGGTTGAATGAGTGAAAAATGAATGGAAGTCGGTGCAAAGTCCCTGTAAAGATAGAAAGTAACTTTTGTGCGTGTGTTGAGCTCAGCTCCCACGTCCTTCACAGAATAAACACTGCCCTGAGGTCAGAGGTCACAACTGTGTTTCCATGGTGACGAGCAGTTCCTTTTCTAAAGGGTAACTGTGACACTTGGAGGTGAATCTGCTGTTGATGGTTCGGTCACTTGGCAGAGCTGCGTGTTTGGCACCAGGCTGAAAACTTGAAGTTGTTGTGTTAGCTGTTTCCTGAGCTGTGGCGAGGGTCACCTGCTGGGCTCTCTGCTTCTTATCACGGGACATATTGTTGATCAACTGCTGTGTGTTGCTCCTGTGGGCATGTGTTAACATTTGTTCCTGCAGAAAGTTATTTCAGTCCTTTGGAATGTTGTGTGTGGAAAGTGATCATTATTTCTCTGATTCAGTGCTTTGGTGTTTTGATGATTCTCCCTTTCATAATTTAAACCACTGCTGCTCTTTCCTCAATGTTCACGCAGCTGAGTCATTCCAAGAAAACGCATAAAATATGTTTCACAATCACCAGATTTATATTCTCTTTTTTTTTTTTTTTTAACAAGAGTACCGTAATTGTGTCTTAACTTTTGATCAAGATGAATCTTTGATTTGATCGTGTTGTGGACATTGTCACATTAACACAGTGAAGTCTGTCAGATGCTCTGATCTGACGTTGCGTTGCTTCACCCTCTGTTAAATCTTCTGCTGAAGCTGCAGTTTTATAACTTCAGTTGGATCTTTGAATATTTGCATTTGATCCTGGATTTGTTTCTGAGAACTGTAATTATTTGGACTTTAGATTTCTTTTTCTCTCTTGTTTAGTGTCTTAAGATGGATTTTGCTGTGAATTACTGCAATAAAGGGAAAGTCTTAGCATTCCTTTTAAACAATGGTTCCCAACACTAGTCCCTGAGGAACACCATCCTGCATGTTTTAGTGTTTCTGCTCCAACACACCTAATTCAGTGATTTACCTATTTTTTGGATTTAAGCGAAACAAAACAGTTGAACTTTATTCAACTCGCTCACAATAACTCAGCATTGTTCAGTTGTAACACATCGGTTCGCGGTCAGTAAGCACAACCAGAATTGATGCTTAAGGCTGTTGATTTTCTCAAATATGAAAATGATTTTTAGTGTGCCTTATAGTCCAAAAAATATGGTAATTCAAGTTCTGCAGAAGCTTGTTAATTGCTCATTCAATCAGATTAAGGGTGTCGAAGCAGGGAAATGACTAAAACATGCAGGATGGTGTTCCACAAGGACTAGGGTTGGGAACCACCGTTTTAAGGAATGCGTATCACCTGCTGCCTTTCATGTCATAGTTTCAGACTATCATACCATCTTGAATTAGATTGTCTCCAAAAGTTAATTGATTATATTTATACATTAGTTTTTTTCCCTGATAGGTTTTCAATCTGACTGGTGGTTCATGAGATAAATTGCTAAAAAAAAGAGGCATTAAAATATTCACTTTTTATAGAGATCAGTGATTGTGTTATTAAAGTGTCTTTTTGTTTTTCTTTGCTTCCAGCGGCGCTGCCTTCAGCCATCCTCACGCTGAGGTTTAAACCTCATCACCGAGGAATCTACTGCAACGATGAGAGCATCAAGTATCCCTACAGGAGAGACACCATCTCTCATGGCACCATGGCTGCGGTCACCATCACCTGCTCTTTAGTCATCGTGAGTTCAGCTGTTTCTGTGGGACGAGTGACAAAAACACATGTAACAAGTTGCTGCTGAGATCTTTTCTCGTCTAAATGACCTGCTCCTTAACAGATCACTACAGGAGAGGCCTATCTGGTGCACACAAACCGTCTGCGCTCCAACTCCACGTTCAACCAGTACCTGTGCGCGCTCTACAAGGTGGTTGGGACCTTCCTGTTCGGAGCTGCAGTTAGCACGTCGCTCACCGACTTGGCAAAGTTCACCATCGGCCGTCCTCGTCCAAATTTCTTATCCGTGTGCAACCCGATGAGCTGCAACGGATACCTGCTGGAGATCAACTGCACGGGAAAACCTCGCAACGTGACCGAGTCCAGGTGAGCTGTCGCAGCGCTCCACCTCTCCAGGGCAAAAATTAAACTTCTATCGCTAAAACACCATCATCTCTATAAAGTCTTGTTTATTTTTGTCTGTTTGTCCACTGGACAATGTCTGTGTGAATTAGTCTGTTAGCAAAATATTTCATGAACTGGGTGAATGTTAATAAAAGTTCTTGCAGTTTCTTAGTTGCATAAATCTACAGTTTGTTCTCGGTGAATCAAGAGTTTTTGCATTTTCACACATAAAGTTTGAGACAGTTTGGTTTTACTCGAGTCGTTTCATTTCCTGAACCCATCGTTTTTTGTTTTGGAGTCTGATCCCCTGTAGAAAGATAAGAGTTTATAGTTTTACTGCAATAAGAGCTTGTTGTTCTTCTTTAGGAACTTGGTTTTGCCAAAGAAACGTGAATGAGCAGCACTTCTGCCCTCTAGTGAAGTCACTTCTATAAAAATGACTTCATTAATGTTACCAAATAAAAACTGCTGTAGTCAGAAATGGTAGTTTTCTTAAAAGATGTGGCTTGCATCATAAAACTGATTTGAGTCTTAATCCAATTCTTTGTCCCTGAACACAAACCAAAAGTTTTCTGTTTGTTCTCCTCAGGTTGTCGTTTTACTCCGGCCACTCGTCCTTTGGGATGTACTGCATGCTCTTTCTGTCGGTGAGTGCTTGTTGCGTGACACTGTGGAACAGGTGTTTATGAAAAACGCACAAAAATGAGCCATAACAGGAGAAGGTGGTGAGGACGGACTTACAGCTGTGGTTTAAAAATGACGGGACCGATTTAATGTGAGAGATAACATGAGGCAATCCAAGGGATGGATGTGAACAAATATCTTACCTGCTGTAGGAAGCTCTTTGAGCAACTTTAGTTTGAAGAAAATGTTTAGTTCCGACCAGACGGATGAGGTAACAGCCGAGAGGGTCCAAAACCTAAGTGGACTGCTCAGGTCTTAAAACAATGCCTGTTTACAAAGTTTCATAGTTCACGTGAACGCCTTTTTACAAACTTTATAACCGTCGGTTTCACTAAATGAGATTATTGTTGCAGAAATGTGACATTTTTACTGGAAGCTCCCCAGGCTGCAGCAGAAGTGATACAGCTAGCTGCTGCTGCCATTTGTGCTAGCAATGATATGCTATTTTTTTGGGACAGGCATTTTGGGTTTTCATGAGCTGTATGCCATAATCATCAGTATTAAAACAATTAAAGACCTGAAATATTTCAGTTGGTGTGCAATGAATCTGAAATATATGAAAGTTTCATTTTTATCATTACATTATGGAAAATAATGACCTTTATCACAATATGCTAATTTTTTTAGAAGGACCTGTACAATTTGACAGACCTAAGTGTTTTTTCTGTCCACAGCTGTACGTCCATGCCAGAATGCAGGGTAAGTGGACCAGACTGGTTCGACCCACCATCCAGTTCTTCCTGGTGTCGTTCTCTCTGTACGTCGGCTACACTCGGGTCTCCGACTACAAGCACCACTGGAGCGACGTGCTGGTGGGCCTGCTGCAGGGAGCCCTCATCGCCGTGCTCACCGTGAGTCCAACCGTTCACGCGGCGCCGATTCAGAACTTGACTCGGCCTTTTAAAGACGTCGTCTCCCTCTCTGCTCTCAGGTTAAATACGTGTCCGATTTCTTCAAGCCGCGCCCTTTACGCAGCACGCCAGCAGAAACGGCAGAGAACGAACAGCTGGAGTGTAAACCGAGCCTGCAGCCTTCAGACGCGCAGCACGGAAACCATTACAGATGTTCCACCGCTCCTGTATGAGCTCCCAGCTGAGCCCGACTCGGCTCCGTTAAAGGACTCTGACGAATGCACAGGACGGCACAAGTGTTCCCCCGACGCACTTTCACTGCCTGGTTCCTGAAACTTGTTGGGACAGACGCTCCAAGATGATTTTATAGTGTGGGTGTGTGTTGCAAAAATGTACTGACTGTGTGTGTGTGTGTGTGTGTGATATAATGGATTTTTTAAAATGTTTTGATGAGTCCCTGTTCGAGCAGAGCTTACAGATTTGTGAAACAAACGGCGACTGCTGAAAAATTCTTTCCAGAACGTTTCTGCCCGAGTCGATAAACGGCGTCCGAACACGGCGGGCTGCGTGATTTTCCCCCGTCAGACGACTGTCGCAGCTTCTGCACGCTGGAGCTGCATGCGTCCGTCTGTGCACGACACTTTTCGTCCCTCTCTGCGTAGGTTTGTTAAAAACTCCACACGAAACTTCTGCTCAACGACTGATCTGAACGCAGAAGCTACTAACACTTATCTTTTTATAACCACTATAAAGAATTTTGTAGCATTTTAAAAATGATTAATCACGTTTGTAATTTTTGCTTGCACGTTTCATCTTGCAGACTGCAGGAGTATTTATAGAGGCGCATTACATTTGTCCCTTTTGTGCCAAGTCTTTCACAAAGTACATTCTCACAGCGACCCCCTCCCTCTTCACTGCTGCACAACCTGTTGTGAAATTGTACATACTAGTGTTGTTTTTGTTCCCAGCCTGTGTAAAGTTTTGTGCACATTCTTTATAAATGTAAGTCGGCGTGTCGAGCGTTGGTGTTTGCTTCCTTTAGCCAAAGAAAAGGGAAACAAAGGTGTACGGTGACTGACGAGTTATTTTCACAGAGCGCTCGTTGAAAACGGGCACAACACGGAGCAGGTTTGTCTGAACCTGCTGCTGCTGATGGTTGAGATTCCTCACAGCGACAGAACGTGGCCTGTTGAACCACATCACATGCACACACACACACACACACGCACACACACGCACTGGTGAAAAATGCTGTGAATGTTTGTGATCCATTTTTCTGACGTACGTTTTCAGCGCGATTCTCGTCCCGCAGTTTTCATCTATTTCAACAAATCATAAATCGAAACGTTCAGCTCTTTCAGGACAATCCTGCTGTGACTTTTGGTGCAACTTTAGCTTTTTGAAATATTTAGCCTTTTCTGCCACTTTTTTCCTTGTAGAAATCTGAGCTCATTTTACATCTGTTTACAACCTGTGACTGATCATTTCACATTTTTTTCTGCTTTAGCCGTTTTCTGTTTTTACTTTTTCAGCTAATTCATTTTTTCAACTCATTCGGCTCTTTTGCATCGTTCTAGTTTAAGGTTCTTTTTGCCTTTTCAACTATTTTGTGCTCATTTTAGCTAATGTCCTAATTTCTATGCACTTTTATGCTAGTTAAACCAAAGTGAGCAAATATGTTTCTGCTTCTGCTAATTTACGCTTGTTGTTCCATTTCGGCTACGATTCAGCATGTTTCTAGCTAATTTCAGCTGCTTTTTTTCTGCAAAATCTTCAGCAATTGGCATTCACACTGCATTTTGCAGTAAATGCAATTTCTCGTGAATGCTCCTTTCAGCTTTTCCTGCTAGTTTATTTCAGCTAATATGTAGCTGTTTTATGCTAATTTTAGCATCTTCAGCTTATTCCACATTTTTTGCACTCATTTCAAGTTTTTTAAGCTTAATTTAGCAAAAATATACTCTCTCCCTTCTGGTAGCTTGAGCTTCAGTCTGCTTTTTAGCTACTTTTTAGCTGTTCTAATCTTTTTTTTTAACCTACTTTCCTCACTATTTAAGCCTAATTCAACAATTTTATGTTCTTTCTGCTAATTTAAGCTTGTTCTTCCATTTCAGCTTGTTTTCATATCATTTCTGTTTTTTTTTAAAGCAGGTTCTTCTGCAGTAAACATTCACACTGAATTTTCTCGAGGTTTCTTGTTCCTTGGTTTAATCCAAGCTTCAGATCGACCTTTGACTACAGAGCAGTCCGTGTTGATTCAGAATGACTGAATACTTTCACTTTCAACATTCTCATTTAATCATTTCAGCAAATCTTCTGAAAGTGAACCTGTTTACATGCAGAAACAATGTAGACAATCAGGCTCACAAATGTTGTGCTGCAGCTGAATAGTCTTATTCAGATTAGGTGAATACTTGTTCATGCATATAGAGGTTTTTTTTATTTTATTATAGGCAGTACACTTTTTTTCTAGTGCCCGCAATTTCCATGTGGCGAGAAGTAAATCCTTGGAAAGGTGACATGAAAAAAAAAATCAAGCACAGCCGTCAATCACCGTTTTCAAATGAACAGTCGGAGTCAACTTGATTCAAGATGGCTGCAGCCTCGTCTGTTCTTCTGGTTGTTTTGGCATGAAAGCTGCAGGGTGTTGAGGTTTCTTCAAAGAAAGTTGTAATTTTAATTCTGTTTTAAATATTCTGCAGTCGACATGAAACCTTTTATTCAGGCTGCACGACGTAAAATACAATTCTTTGACTGTTTAAAATAAAAAATCCAGTTTGGCATTTGAAAGTTGGGAGATTTTGAAATGGGCAAGTCAAAATGTGCTTTTGAGAAACATTTTCTCAGCAGTTACACATTTAACTCTTATCATCTGAGCAGCAGCTCGTTACATTTCTCCCTTTAAACAAGAAACAGAAAAATTACACTTTCACACCTGAGTCTCGTTTGTTTCTATAAAATGCTCAAACCTGCAGATGGTTCACTTGCTGCTAAAACTTGTCCAATTCAAATACAACCCAGTTTTAAAAGAAATGTTCACTTTGTGCATTTTGTTGAACAGCACTCGTACAAAAACACACACTTTTAAATCACAACTTTTATTTGTAAGGCACCAGAGGAGCTTCCTTACTGCTAAAAGGTTGATTCATTCTCACGAGTACACAGTTGCTTACATTTTTTTTTTTGTCCAAGATATTTTAAAATGTGTTTATAAACACATTTAAACAGTTTTGCACAAATTAAAAAATAAAACATTTACAAACCTAGAATTAGTTACATTTTACAACCTAAGAAGAAGAAAACATGGTATACAACGTTGTGCCTTTAGGCTTGTATGCACGCACTCACACCGCCAGTCCTCCGTGATACGCACACATTAAAAAGCAGCTTTGAAACATACAAAAATGCTTTTAAAAAATATGTATATTGATATCCACATGTGTACAAACGTCCCCTTCACGGCAAACAAAGCAGGAACCCGTCACATGTCAGATTGGCCACAGAGTTTAACGTCACTATATGGAAGTCCTGTGTTCCATATATTACGTAAAATCTCAGGAAACTTTCACCTTTCGCCCCCAAAACTTCGACACATCTCAAATTAAAAGACAAACGACGCTGATAGAGACAAAACGGAAGGGTTGAAAGCTTTGGAAAGCGCTTAACGTACAGTTGAACTAAAAATACAGACTAAAACAAATCCCACAAGAGACGATGTGGACCCATCTTTTAGATGTGTTCTGAACACAACCCTTCCCGACGTCACCCTCAGAGACCCAAAAGGAAACGGGACGACCAGAACGCCCGCAGGCTGCCCAGCTCCATCCTGACATGCTCAACTCATGTGCATCATGATTTTGCAGCTAGATTAAAAAAAAAAATGTTACAAGAAACTACTCATCTCACTCACTGACTTTCAAATAAATTAAACGTTTTAGAGACAAGTGCTGTGTGAGAAGTTTGCACGCAACTATTTTCTGTTGCAGGAATAGTTTGGCTTTATTTGCTCCATCTGCAAGCAGCTGTGTGTTTTCTGCGTAATGCACTGAATCGAGCTAAAGGTTCTGATCATATCGTGGAAACGGTACGCAGGCTCAAACTTCTACACACATGACTCAAATCACCGTTTGGAAACAAAGTGGGTCGTATTAAAGTTGTTTAAAACATCTTAAAGAATAAACTGGAGTCAAATGGTTAAAGATGTGCTTTTTTAAGTGCCGTTTCTTTTTTACACACCTTGAAGGTAGAGCTGGCCAAATGAAGGTCGTTTTATAAAAGGGTTCATGTCTCCATCCCGACTATGCCTTTGGCGCCATCTTGTGGCCAAAGACAACAGCTTGAAACTGCTTTCCACAGATGTTTAATATCTTGTGATATTTCTGTTTGATACAAGTCATTTAGGTGCTTTTAACATATATTTTTGCGGGTGAAATAATAGTTATTTGGTGAATAAATGTGTTTATGTAATATGATGCCACTCGTGATTTGTTATTAGTAAACCTAAGAGAATAAAAACAAATCTTAGTTTGGAATAGTGTTTGCTGCAGGCTCCCTGCCTCCATGATCTTATGTAAGTAATGAATCAGTTTCTTCATGATGAGCTCAGACTGTAGCTTTAATATTAAAGTTTTCTGTTTAGTTCAGCTGAAACACTGAACAAGTCTCGCTGTTTGTTGCTCACTGGCTTCCATCGTTCTGAGCCTCGGACGTCAATGATCATGTGACTCTAGCTGAATGAAGCTCCCACACAGAGCTTCTGAAGCACGTCATACATGCACCAAAGCTTCAGCTTGAACTGAAAGCCTGAGCTAAGGTTAATCAGGATTTAGACTAGACCGCTGATGTTTCGAGTCGGTCGTAGACTGAACACTACTGCTGCAGGCAGCAATGATGTGTCTATAAAAACTGTTTACAGGTGAGGGAATGTCTGCAATTAATACACTATCATTTGTTTTTAAACGCTGCACGTCTTAAAGTATGTAGGGTTTTTAATGTTAAACATTTTATTGCTTGCCGAGTTTAAACACTGTCATTTCTTTCAGAAAGTCTCAACACAAACCTGAAGATCATGTACAGTTAGGCCTGTCGCGATAAACAATAAATCAATTAATCGCATGATAATGAAAATCATCAACCTCATTTTCATTTATCGGCTTTTTGGTTCTTGTCTCTATATGAAGACACTAATGACAAAAAGCTCAACTCCGGTGCTCTTCACTGACCCCTCCCTTTCTCTTTTAAATCCATTTTAACCGTCTAAAATCACGTTTTTGGACGGTTAAAAGCAGCCGAGAAGCTAAGCTATGAGCTAAGCTAACAGGCCGACCTCGGGAATAAACCTCCGTCTTGTCCAAGCTCCAAAAGTTGTTTTTCTCTGCAAAAAGAAGCTGAGAACTTGTTTACTGATTTTTAAAAATAAATAAAAGCAGTTTCCCCTACCATTATACAAGCGGGGCGCCCCGCCCTGTCAACAGAACCAAGCACCCCGCCAACCCCAAGTCAGCACAGACGTACGGCTAAGCTAGCGGCGTGCAATACAGGCGCTCCAACTAAAAATCTAAGAGGCAGCGCTCACACTGCCTCTTCCCTCACTTTTAAACAAACCGCACGCAGCTCAGGTGTTTCTCCGTCTTCTCCTCTCCAGTGACAAAAATCAGATGAGACGAGCACCCCGCCATGACAAGTTATCTACAGGAAACACTGAAAAGCGTTGTGTGAAATATGCTATGCCAAACAGCTCAAACCACACCGAGCGTCTGCCATTTTGAGAACAAACAAAAAAAAAGGGAGAGCCCGTGTCACGTCAAGGGGCCTCTCTCCCATTTTTCTTAAAGACATGCTTACTCGCTCCCTCACTATCCATCCTTCGGTTCAAAGTCTTATACTGCCATCCAGTGGTAAAAAAAAGGTATTACACATAAAACAAATGAACCATCAGTTTTCTTAAATTTGACAATAATTACTAATTACTGTCAAATTTCAAACATCATCATTTATCGCAATAATTTCTGAGACAATTAATCGCCCAGTAAAATGTGTTATCGTGACAGGCCTATGTTCAGGTTTCATCAGGCAAAGAGAGGAGGGTGGAAAAATATATAGAAAATATTCAAACAAAAAGGTTTGTGGTTTCTGTCAGGACACCTTTTAGGCCTTTTCACTGATAAAAACACGTCAAACTGAATTCAAAAATATTTTCAGAGCTTTAACAATCTCATAAAGGTGTTTAACGCACCGGCTCTAAGCCCGTTGAAACAAACTGGGAACTGAAGAGTTTAAAATTCAATTCTGTTTATCTGAAACGCACAATGTAGATATTCAGAACTTTCCATTTCACACCAAACTAAACTTTATTTTGGCTCTAAAAGCACGAGTTAATATTAGCTGTAACCAAGAGGCTTCGGTCGACTGGTTTTTTTTCCATATGGAAACTGTTGTGATAAAAAATGTTTTTCCATAATGGAGAGGAAAAATGTCTGAAGAGTTATCTTAAATCTGCTTATTGTGACTGGCACACGACTGTCAGTGAGACCCAAACTGCACGAGAAAAAAAAAAGAATTTAGAAAAATAAACCTGCAACAAGCAGACACAAGAATCTGTTATTCTTTCAACTTCGACTCCCACTCCAAATGAGATATTTATATTGGTTAACCAAACAATAATGGCTTACACACTAAAAAAAAAAACATCTATTAGAAATCTTAATGCTTGAACTGGTCTAATCCCACTAAATAACAGGAACGTTAACTTCCAGTTTCAGTCTTTGAGGATTTTTAGCACATCCTAAACTTTCAGCTCCGTCCTCGTCCTCCACAGCTCTGAGCAGATGGATGTGCATCAATACCAACTTACAGCTACAGCTAATCTTTACTCCGTTTGAAACTCGACACCGAACACCCGCCCACATCCCTCCACCTCACTGTGCCGCCACTAGTCTGACTTGTCTCCGTCCTCTCCTCTGGGCGCTCTCTCCGCAGCCTCTCTGGCCTTGTCCTCCTTCGCTGCCTGCGGCTGACCGTGAGAGTAGTTGGCCAGGATGGAGGAGAGGGAGAGGAGGCCCGAGCTGGAGGAGACGGCAGGCAGGGAGGGTGGGGTGAGGCCCAGGGGCAGCGGGGTCACCGGCAGGGTCAGGCCCTGGAGCTGGGACAGGTGCTGCACCTGCAGCTGTTGCTGCAAACAGGCAGGAAGTAAAGAGGAGGATGCTTTAGACAAAAACATACCACGACACTGCAGAGCCATAAAATGCACAAAATAAAACTATTCTCTTCATTTGGTTTAATTTGCTTGAGCGGATCAGAAGCTTTGAGCAGGACAACAGAAAGTTTACATACTGTACATATAGACAGTCTGACGGGCGTCAAAAATGTCAAACTACACATTTCATTGAAACATTCAGCAAATATTTAATGGCTGTGCATCTTTGACTGATTAACTTTTGGAGCCAACCAAACTCAAGATGTCCACCACAGCCAAGTACCAGATTTTTCGCTGTATAAATCGCAGGTTTTTGTTTGCACAATTTGCATGCCCTGCAACTTATACGCTGAAACGACGTATTTATGGATTTTTCTCTCATATTTATAAACAAATTTTTGGCTGAGATATGACCGTTTACATTCATTCTGACTGAAAATATTCAACACAGCAGATTTTTCCACTTTATTAGACATATTTGGACTCATGCAACTTATAGGACGGTGCGACGTGTACGGTGGAAAATACTATAACCTTAAAAAAAGAAAAAACTCTTGCCAGTAAATGGACATAATTCAATTTTACAGATTTCTTTCTTTCTTTCAGCTGCTCCCTTCTTCAGGGGTCGCCACAGCGAACTAACTCGCACTAAGACTTGGTTGTTATTTTTATGCCACGTCCTTCCTGACACAACCACAGAGCTACCACAGCCTCTGTGTGGAGCAGAGAGCTGCAGCTAAGGCGCCCAAGACAGCAGATGGTGGGGGGTTAAGGACCTTGCTCAAAAGCCCACAGTGGGGCAAATGAGGGAGGAGGCAGGTGTGGACGCTTCACTTTTCTCATCCACAATTTGACATCTGTTTGGGGAGTTGAAACGACGACCTTCCGATGGCAGGCTCACTGTTTTTTTTGTAACCTCTGCACCACCACTCCCCATTAAGTTCAATCAATTTTACAGATATTGTGCTACAAACTGGTGGTTGCAGCCGAGAGTCGTTCACACAACAAACCAAGAACAACATCTCACAATACTGTGGTTTATAAGATTTCACCAGAAAGGGCGGCACGGTGGTGCAGTTGGTAGAGCTGCTGCCTCTCAAAAAGCAGGTTGCCCCGGTGCAACTCCCAACCGGTGGCATTTCTGGATGGAGTTTGCATGTTAGACTGATTGGCAACTCTAAACTGTCCCTAGGTGTGAGAGAGACAGTGAATGGTTGTTTGTCTCATTGTGTCCCTGTGATGGACTGGAGACCTGTCCAGGGTGTCCCCCGCCTCTCGCACAGTGACTGCTGGATATGGACACCTGTGACCCCCGCGACCCAAAAAGGAAGCAGCATGTAAAGATGATGGATGGATGACCAGAAAGACTAAAACCATCATGTGGTCACAGAACATGATCCAAGCTTTAAACTCTGACATAAAAAGGTGCACAGAGACGAGGACAAAAGCATTTTTGTAATCGTCTCAGGCTGCCAGATGGAACATGTGCCGAGTTGAAAGCTGTGAGAAGTGTTTGGTTGTGCTCACCCGTATGATGGAGTTCATCTCAGGAGGTGTGACCTGCTTGGCTCGCTCTATGGCCCCCATGACTTGCTGCTGGTGCTGAAACAATCACATTTCATACAACGTGCTTCAACATCACCAGGCATGAGAGAAGACACTAAACTTTGAGACAGCTCAGTTACATGCACTGATAAACTGTAGACCCCCACAGGTTCAAGTGTTTCGGTCATTACCTCCTGGGACAGGTAAGGCAGCACCTGAGCACAGATCCCATTCAGCCTCTTCACTATTTCAGCCTGAAAAATGAAAAAAAAAAAACAAGTGGAATCAGACGACCAAAATCACAAGAAGTGAATTATTAGAAGGATTATGTGTTTACCTGTTTGTGCATTTCAATATTTAGACCGTAGGACATTTCATAATACTGCAACACAAAAATAAATATTAACAAGCTTCTATTTTCTACTGATTTTTCTGTTTAAAAGTTTATAATCATTCAGGATTAAGAATGTGTTTTCATGGATAATTTGCATTTTTACGTCCTAAATGTTAGAGCTTTTCATCAGAGAAAGGTCTTTATGTGGAGTAGAAGTAAAGCATGTTGATCATTCAGGTGTAAATTTGTTCAGAAGCTCGACAAACTTCCAGGGATGAATGAGATGAAGATCAGCAGCATCATCATCAACGGTCCACGCCACTTACCATGATGTAGTGACGCTGCATCTCGGACTTCTCAGAGGCCAGTTTATCGCACTCCAGCTTCAAACTGGATAGAAAAGACAGGAGTTGGAAAAAAAACATAATTTAACAAAAGGTTAAAGCTCCATCGTGCAAAGAAGTCATAAACGCAGCCATCTTCTCTGGGCTCATTTAAAACGGTCTGAGGCAAAATGGAGAACTGTTCTGTGATCAGACAAATCAAGATAAAAAATTCTTATTAGGAACGAGAGGCAGCACACGTTGCATGCTAAAGAGGAGGGGGACCACCCAGCCTGTAACATACAGCCTGCCTCTCTGATGGGACTTGACTTTATGCGAGTGTTCGTGTGGGCTGCACACCTGTGGTACTGTGCTTGGAGGAACTGGAACTCATCCTTGATCCGATCACAAGAGTCAGACGTGGTGAACTTCAGAGCTTGACTGGACTGAGATGATGCCTTGGGAAACAAAGGGAGAGTCCTGCATCAAACTTGGAAGTGACACGTTGCACATCCAGATCCCAGAGCATGAAAACAGTGTTCAGATTCACAGGCTTTGCCTTTTCCTTCTAAAACTAAACCAGTGAGGACAGACCTCTCTTGTAGACAGAAGATTGTGTGTGCACGTGTCTGTCCTGCTTATTTTAAGCGTATTTTAATCAGTGTGTTGGGAGTTTGTTTATTAACAGCAGCTTGACCTCTCAGATTAACCCCGAGAGGACGGCTAAAGTGAGTTTCGATCTAAACTCATCAGTATTTTGGAGTGTGTGAAGCGTCTTTAAAGCAAAGTGATACGAAACATCTGCCAAGACATAGTCAGGGATGTGTGCTGAAGTTAGTGTGAGCACGCTCGTGGCCCGTATGTGAGAAGTCCGGTTATGTTTAGACTTCATTTAAACCTGTAATCCAGCGTTTATCAGTCTCCCTAAACCTCATTACTCTCTAAATAAGTGGCACACGGGCAGGAGGTTCCCAGCTGGATTATGGGATTGAACAGAGGAGTTTGGCTGCACAAAGGTCAAAGCTGCATCTGTAACGTACCTGAATCTGCAGATTATCACAAAACTTTTGTTTGTCTAAAAGCAAAACAGCCAAAACGGTGTCAGCTCAATCAATAATTCAATTAGTTAATATAAGAAAAACCTCAACGGTTGCATTTTCCTTTCACATTAATGAAAAAAAAATAGTTATATTTATGTTTTATTTAGTTCTACAATTATTCACATTGTCGTTTACGGAGCTTTAGGGCAGACTATGTTTTTGTCAGCTACAGTACATCTCATATGAAAATATCTCATTAGCCACTGGATGGACTTGCAGGTAAATAAAATTTCCATGAAAAAAAAACTACATTGAATAAGAACTGGAGCCAAACCAATTCAAGATGGCCACCACAGCCAACTGGCCACAGAAAGCACAGAAATTGGTAACTCAAGCATTTTTACAGATAGAGATATGAATTAATATTGGAAGTAGCAGAGCCACACAACTTGTATTAACTCATGAGATTGTAACTTTATTTTGAAAGATTTGACCAAAACCATTACAACTCATTATTAAACTTATCTAAGCCTAAAACTCTGCCATGAAACATGGCAGGTGATAAGCACTCCTTCTAGGAATAAAAGGCTTTTAGTCATTTTATTCTTCCAGCTTTGGTTTCCAAAAAATATGAAATTATCAAAACAACTTAATGAGCAGGCTCATTAGAAACACCACAGGCCCAAGGGTTAGCTTCAAACACATTTTTACCTTCTATAAATACCTTTATTTTAATAAAACTACTATAAATGTGAAAATAGTTTAGCGTTAAGCTACATGTTTAAATTTTATGTTTTTGTAGTTTGTTGCCTCTGCAATGCAAGACTCATTTTACATAAACCATAATGTAGGGATGGTGTTAGCATGTGTCACTACTTTATCTCTCCAGTAAAGCAAAAATTGAACACATTTCAAAAACTATATTTTATACTTTTGCTTTGCATTTACTCACCTCGTAGTTAATATATTTAAACAGAAGTGCATTTCTGCTTTACAAGCAGGACATAAGTGTCATCACCCAGGTTAGCTGTGCTGAGCTAGCTAAAGACAGACGGTTAGCAGCTAAGTAAAAGCTAAAAACGATGTCCCAGCTCGCATCCACACGGCTCGAATGTTAGTCGTGTTCATAATGCAGTGTGAGGAGGTGCAGGGAGGTCTGTCCTCCTAGCTGAGGAGCTGAAGGCTACACGCAGCCCGCGGTTCTCCCCTGGATCAGCTGTCCGGCTGCTAGCTAGCGTTAGCCTCAGTTAGCTCCGCGTCCACACGGGACCAGTTCGAGCAGTCCACTTACCGAGTGCCTGGATTGAGGAAACATCATGTCAGCAGCGCGTCTGGTCGTGTTTCCTTGGCCTAAACGAACTACCAGGTCAGCTAACTAAGCTAGCCAGGTCCCCAGATGTTATTCAAGAACTGGAGTCGCTATTTGAACGCGGTCATCCTTTAAACTGGGGTGAAAGCGGCGGGACTCGTGGGCTTCTTTCGCAACGAAGCGCAAAGAAAACGCCTTTTCTGGGCAACAGCGCGTGTTTCTGGATAATAATGCTGCGCCTCCCGGGTGGGGGTTGAAGATCGTGGATGTTGACACGAGCCCCTGACTTTCCTCTGCTGCTTTGAAGGGAAGAGGATCACCCGGAACACGAAGCGAGCGGCGGAGGAGCGCGCGCCCCGTGCGACCAGAGTCTGAACTGATTTGGGAGAGGCCGAAACCGCTGCAGCCAGGGCCGGTGACAGGAAACCTGGGGCCGCTGGGGGGGGAAGTGACACCAGGGGCCCAAAGTCAAATGGGCACTCTATTGTTTACCGATAACATAAATAAACCAAAACAAGAACTATGTTTTTAGTCAAGACAGAATTAGTCATTCTGACAGGAGTCTTGGTGTCATTTTGGACAATCTTACTTTTAAATTTTGGTGGGGGGGGGGGGGGGGGGGGAATCACCCCCAATGTCCAGGTCTAAAACTCACACCGATGAAAAACAAGTATTAAAAAACGGTCTAAATCTATCTACATTTCTAAATAGCAGTGTTATCTCTCACAACTTTCTCTCAGTTCTGAGTCTCCAGCTATGTCTGCAACACAACATTTTTTCAGTCAGGTCATCTGGACAGTTTCTTTTTTTTTGTGCTGAAACGTTTCGCCTTCGATCCGGAAGGCTTCATCAGTCAAGGAAACGCACAACAAAACTGATTCTTCCCCCAACAGCTTACTCCAAAGTGGATCAAGCCAGTTCTGCTTGTGATAAGATGGTCTCTTTGGTACACCCCCTCCTCCATTGCCGGTCCTCTTCCTTGTTGACAGTCTTGTCAAACTGGTTGAAAACAACAAAGTTGGATTGTATACCTGGATTATTGAGCATGGACTTTGTTATGTCCGCAACAATCGCAGCCCAGTCAGATACTGCTTTTATTAAAGTTGAGGCCTACTTTCCACCCGATTGATTGGTTTGAAAATATTGATTCATTCCTTCATTATATCTCATTTAGATCACATCACGTCACCTTACAATGGCTTACTGTCCATTTTAGAATTCAGTATAAAATGTTTTTCCACAGTGGCTCAGATGGTAGAGCTGTTGCCTCTCAGCAAGGTCGCCCCGGTTCAAATCCCGGTGTTGCACCATATTCTGTGACCACTGTATATTGTGACCTTAGGGGGCGCTGTTACATTTTTACATCAGACTTTGCAACACCTGATAAACACTATCATTTTTGTGTGACCGTTTATATTTCCAATATACTCATGATTTTAGTGCGCAGATGTTAATTTTTATTCTTTGGAGGAAGAAGGCTGACTGTCTCCTTCCTCCAAAGAATAAAAAGCAACATATGACCACTAATATCATGACTATTATGGAAATATAGACAACCACAGAATATGATAGTATTTGTAAGATATTGTAAAGTATGGTGTAAAAATGCAACAGCGTCCCCTAAGGTCACAATATACGGTGGTCACAGAATATGGTGTAACACCTGCCAGGGGGGCCTTTCTGGGTGGAGTTTGCACATTCTCTCTGTACTCCATTTTCCTCCCATTGACCAAAAACATGCATGTTAGGTTGATTGGTGAGTGATGGTTTATTTGTCTAGTTTGTCTGTGTCCCTGTGATAAACTGGAAACCTGTCCAGGGGTACCCGGCCTCTCGCACTATGATGGCTGGACATGGGCACGACCCGTAAAGGAAGCGGGTACAGATAATGAATGAATGGATGTTTTTCCACTCATTTACAGGACAAATCAACAGAGGATGTCATAGATTTCAACCATCAAACACAGTGAGAGAACACTTTTCATTGATTTCAGCAACTTGCAATTGGCTGAAAGATGTTTTAACCAACCGCACACCGACATGGACCACAACTCTTCTACAATTAACATACTCACCCTCAGGCTGTGTGCTGAGCCCAACTCTGTATTTGTTAATACATATACCACTAATTAGATCTGACAGCCATCTTGAGTTTGGTTTACTTTAAAAGTTATTCAGTTGCAGATGTCATCCAGTGATTACTGTAAGAGTTTTATTAAACTCCCTGAGATATTTTGCTCACAGTGTTGCCACTTAACAGTTGCTTGAATAAAAGTTTTAAGTGTTGAAAACTAATCTACAACTACACCAAATGTTAGCTCAATATTTGTAAAACTGACTGAGCTATAGCCAGTTTGTGTTTCCAATACATACAGTGCCTTGCGAAAGTATTCAGTCTCCTTCAACTTTTCAACCTTTTGCCACATTTCAGGCTTCAAACATAAAGATATAAAATTTAAATTTTTTTGTGAAGAATCAACAACAAGTGGGACACAATCGAGAAGTGGAATGAAATTGATTGGATGTGTCAAACTTTTTTAACAAATAAAAAACTGAAAAGTGGGGCGTGTAATATTATACGGCCCCCTTGCGTTAATACTTTGCAGCGCCGCCTTTTGCTGCAGTTCCAGCTGCAAGTCTCTTGGGGTTTGTCTCCATCAGTTTTACACATGGAGACACTGAAATTCTGCCCATTCTTTCTTGCAAAACAGCTCGAGCTCAGTGAGGTTGGATGGAGAGTGTTTGTGAACAGCAGTCTTCAGCTCTTTCCACAGATTCTCGATTGGATTCAGGTCTGGACTTTGACTTGGCCATTCCAACACCTGGATACGTTTATTTGTGAACCATTCCATTGTAGATTTGTCTTTATGTTTTGGATCATTGTCTTGTTGGAAGATAAATCTCCGTCCCAGTCTCAGGTCTCTTGCAGACTCGAACAGGTTTTCTTCCAGAATGGTCCTGTATTTGGCTCCATCCATCTTCCCATTAATTCTGACCATCTTCCCTGTCCCTGCTGATGAAAAGCAGGCCCAAACCATGATGCTGCCACCACCATGTTTGACAGTGGGGATGGTGTACTCAGGGTGATGAGCTGTGTTGCTTTTACTCCAAACATATAACTACAACTGTGTACAACTGATTGTTGTCCTATGGACAGACTCTCCCACCTCAGCTATAGATCTCTGCAGTTCATCCAGAGTGATCATGGGCCTCTTGGCTGCATCTCTGATCAGTCTTCTCCTTGTTCCAGATGAAAGTTTAGAGGGACGGCCGGGTCTTTGTAGATTTGCAGTGGTCTGATACTCCTTCCATTTCAATATGATTGCTTGCACAGTGCTCCTTGGGATGTTTAAAGCTTGGGAAATCTTTTTGTATCCAAATCCGGCTTTAAACTTCTCCACAACAGTATCTTGGACCTGCCTGGTGTGTTCCTTGGTCTTCATGATGCTCTCTGCGCTTTGAACAGAACCCTGAGACTGTCACAGAGCAGGTGCATTTATACGGAGACTTGATTACACACAGGTGGATTCTATTTATCATCATCAGTCATTTGGGACAACATTGGATCATTCATAGATCCTCACTGAACTTCTGGAGTGAGTTTGCTGCACTGAAAGTAAAGGGGCCCAATAATATTGCACGCCCCACTTTTCAGTTTTTTATTTGTTAAAAGTTTGACACATCCAATAAATTTCATTCCACTTCACGATTGTGTCCCACTTGTTGTTGTTTCTTCACAAAAAATTAAAACTTTATATCTTTATGTTTGAAGCCTGAAATGTGGCAAAAGGTTGAAAAGTTCAAGGGGGCCGAATACTTTCACAAGGCTCTGTAGATGGCTGTGGTGACCATCTTGTATTGCCTCCAGAAGTCGTAGAAAGACATCCAATTTCATTCAAATCCATCTAACGGTTCATAAGATATTTCACAAAGACTCCTGTAGTCGTTGGCAGAATAAAAAAAAACAATATTGCTTGAAACCTTATCAGTAACTTTGTTTTCCGTACAGGATCATGAAGCCCACGCACACACCATGAGCAAGTATAGGAACAAATTTATTTCAATTAAAACAGATACCTTGTCATTATGTTTCTCTCTTAGAAGGCGGCAATGATCATAAGTCATGTTCATGTTTGAATGAGGATCAGGCAACAGTGGCTGAAACAAATACATGAAACACATAAAAAAAATATGGCAAGACTTAGGTAAATCAATAACAGCAAACTGACTGAAGCCCCTTCGTTAAAGGCTCTATACTTCAGTGGGAACATCCAAGCCCTCACTTCCAACACAAAACATCACATGCAGTTATTCGTTTTTTTTTTTTTTAGTTTTTTTTTTAAAGAAACACAATTATCTTTAAAATCTTCAATCTTAAATACAGAATAAAGTCATTGAGTGAACTCATCTATGCTTTTAGTGTCAGGTGTGTTTTCAAAAGGAGGGGGCTTCTCAAATGGTGGTCTGTCTGATAGTGACCACAACATTGGCACTTAGAGAGAGCCTGGAGGAGGGTTGGCACGCAGTATAATACATAGTTTACATTTTGGTTTACATAAAAAAAAAAAACACTTTCTAAACATCACTATGTGATTGACTTTCTGGTTTCATTAAAGTGAGAAAAAAATGAATCAAGTGGTCCTAAAATGAGTGTTCTGGTGACGTTTTTAATACAGAAAAAAAAAACGAGCCGAGTGTCCAACTCCATAATGATGTCCAAGTGTTTGATCCCAATTAGTTTAGCAATGAAAAGGGACAAAACTAAACTGACCAACTGAAGGTCAATAAATCCTATCTCAACATGTATCATCTTTCTTTGAGGTAACAAAAATGAATTGGTGATGAGGAGACTAAACTGTCATATTTCCATTGTACTTGTAAACTGAGGTAAAACATCACCACACAACACCGGACTGCTAACACACAACAAGCCCACAGTGACAGCCACCCAGTCTTTCACCTTGTGCCAGAGTCAAGCTGGTTAACACCATTAAACACTGAGGCGTGTGCATACTGGCATCCTGATCCTCACACACTCAGTCATTTTTAGCAGACTACATAGCATTAACATCATACTGGTGTTGTTTCATACATTAACCCAGTTACACTTCAGTCTGGCATGAAGTCATCTCCCAGCATAAAGGGGATCACTTAGATTTTATGAAGCTGGCCTCTGAGGAAAAGTAATTCACTTCTAACCTGTTGTGGATAGCTCTTTGAACAACCTGTTTGGAGAAACGGTTCGATTACAGCTAGTTTAATGCAGGGGTTCCCAACTCTGGTCCTTGAGGAACACCATCCTCCATGTTTTAGTTGTTTCTCTGACCCGACACCTGATTTTAATAAATGGGTGATTTACAGGCTTCTGCAGAACAGGAAGTAATTAAATCACCGAATCAGGTGTGTTGGAGCAGGGAAACTACTAAAACATGCAGGATGGTGTTCCTCAGGGACCAGGATTGGGAACCACTGGATGGATGGCTGCTGTCGTAAAACAACAGTTCATAATAATAACGTGATATCATTGTATATTCCCATACAATGGTGAAGTTGGCTCTCTGCATGTGGCCCATCCACCCCCAGGTGGGGTGGTGGGTGGCTGTTGGTGGCGCCCAGGGAGGGGGCGTGCTGCTCAGAGACACCACATGTGCAATGACTGGGGATCGAACCTGGAACTTTCGGGTCCTGAGTCAGCTGTCCTGCCTCTACCCCATCTCGTCCCCCTGACTTTAATGTTGCTGTCCAAGTTACATCACAGAAGAATGCTACAAAATACACTTTCCATCTGTAATTATCCCCCCACCCACTCAGTTCTGTCCTGTACCATCAGTCTGAAACAAGCAGTCTTAACAAGTGTTGATTTTGGCTGTTGCTTCATCATTTACAACCTGTGCCTGTTTCGTGGTTTTGCCTAAAAATGGTCGTGCCTACACGGTTCGGACATGTGGTGAATTAAAGTTACTCACTCCACCTCTTGCAGCTAAACCACCCTTTAATGAAACGGAGCCATGGGGTAGAGACGTGCGCTGCTGCTAATCCTGCTAAAAGGCATCTTCACAGTCCTTACAGTCCTCTTACAGACGAGTCATTAGTCCTTCGGTCAAATAAATCAATACGTACTCCGATAGCAAAGCTGAGCCCACCCGTGTTTATGGTTTCCACTTAATGAACCTTTCAAAATAAATTACGATGGCAGATTAGACCTTGGACACTCTTCTTTCTATTTTCGAAGGGCGAACAAAAAACACCAACAAAGGTTGTTATGGTTACAGTAAGTCATTTTAACTTGACTTTGAATATTCGAACATTCCTGCACGTTCCTATCAGCAAGCTGCTACGAAGTTCTTTGCAAATGTCAACGTAAAGAAACACTGTCAGTGATATAAAATTATTTGTTTGCATAATTCACTGTGAAATTTGACAAACTAAAGTTGTTTTAAGGTTGCAGCAACCATTTTGGTCCTAGTTTGCCGTTAGCTCGTCAACCTGGTCAAAAGTAACTACTTCTCCATTCTGGAGTTGTTCAAAGAGCCATCTACAACAGGTAAGATATTAATTATGCAAAGCCCTACTTTGAAACCTTCAGATGTTTAGCATTTGATTTTAATAATGGAGCAATTTTGTGTTGCAGCAGATGTGATTAAATTACAAAAAGAAATTGACCGTTATAAAGCAACAATCCTTAAAAAATAAAATAAAGGCGTTTGTGGTTGTTGTTTTTTTTACAAAATAAAAGTCCCTACAAGTTTCCCAATGCCACAAAAGCAGAGATGTACCAAGGTTCAAACATACAAAACAAACACCAGTATGATCCTAAAAACATTTCTTGGCTATTAGCTACAACTCAAATACTTAGGGAGTCATGCAATACTCGTCTTGGTAGTACAGTAGTGTCTTTACTGATGAGTGTTTCTACACTGCTTGAATATAGGCAATACTGTGATAGATGCAAAACAAAAATTAAAAACACAAAGGTAGTGAAAATCGGAGCATGTAGTGAAGAAATACTTAAAAGAGTCTTTAGTGTTGGTAAACTCACTCTACACACACGCCTTACATTTGTCCTAATACCCTGCCCTACACATTAACAGCACAGACTGCAAATAATCTCTTTATAAACAAGTATTAGCAGACTTGGTTCACCGTGGTCCTGCACTCCACTCCCCGCTGTCAGATGCACTGTGATAGCCCTTAATGAGGATGAAGGGTACATTACCTGTAAAAAAGTTCATGTACGAGACAAAAAAAAAAGAAGAAGTTTATCTGCACTTCACTGGCACTATTCAAAGCAAGCGTCAAAAATTTGGAAATTATCTTTTTGTGTGTGTTTAGTTACAAATCGCAAGCATGGACCGCAAAGGCCCTCAATCACTGAATTAAAAAAAAAAGTCCACCTATGTTTGTACTGTACATTTTTCTAGGTATGTATTACAGCGCTGCATCTATAACCCAACAGGTAAATTATTTAGAAAAGAAAACGTCCAATGACACCTTAAGGAAAACAAATATGGATGAAAATGTGATGGCAATTACAACTGGAAATGTCTATAAGAAATAGAAAGCAGAGATAAAAGTTCTTACTATACCAGACATTCATTTTTTTTGTACTTTTTTTTTGTTTGTTTCGTTTTTGTACAGCAGTTCAGACTCAAGTAAGCTCTGCCATGAAAAAAGGAGCCCTTCAACATGACAGAATCACAAGCAGTCAAATGATCAACACCTTTATCCTGGTCCATAAATTATATAAATTAAAAAGAGACGTTTTATTTACTCTTAAAATCATCTTAGCTCACTGTGAAGGTTTGTGAACCAGCCGAGGTTCGTTTCACTTTGGAAGCAGAGCTGTTGCAGTAGTGAGGCGCTCTGAGGCTTAGAGGAACGTTTTCTCCCGCAGCCGCCGCTTCGCTTCTGTGTAACCCTAATAATCAAGTCAACAAAATCCATAATCACAGTATCAATACTACCATAAATTCATAGGAGAAAACTGTATGCTATAAAGTTTTTTTCTGTTTTTAAAACCAAAGATGGTGTACCACAGAGCACTTTTGTACACAAGTGTTTTCGTCTATATATTTACAAATAAACATTTTCAGACTGAGTGTTTTCTGTGAAAGGCTCGTAACCCCCCCGCCCCCCACTTACTTCATATTACACAACAGCGCTCGATCTTTTGTTAATAAGCAAAGTGACTACACACATTAAAAAAAAAAAAAAAAACAGAAGCACATCCTGATGCGGTGGATGACAATGTAACATCAGGAAGTGGCTGACTATAGACGGCGTCAGAGGCTTCAGAGTGGGCGGGGCTTGAATTTACAACGCTGCCATTCTGACCACGTCACTCTCCTCCACTTCCACAAGTCAGAGTGCGAACCGTCAAAAAGCAGGGCTGTCTTACGAGTGTTGTGAACCCTCAACATCTGCATCAATGTCGCCAGATGTTGCTGTGGAAGATCGTCCCTGTGTATCTGCACAGGAAACTTCTCGAGGAGGGAAGCGTGTGAGTAACGTAAAAATAATAATTATCAAGATTTTAAAAATTAAGTATGTCAAATAAATTTACAGTTGCCTTTTTTGTGTGGATTTTTACAACTTTTTGTCATTTCTTATCACCCCTTCATTCAGCCAGTTTGTTTAATTATCATGTTGGAACAAATTATCCATAAAAATCTGTTTAAAAAAAAATCTCTGATTTTTCAGTACCTTATATTACTGAAAATTACACCGTACACTCTTGTACTCCTTAAGTGCTTACTTCATAATATACACTTGTGTTTTTTTGTGATTGGGATGCTCACATCGGGGGGTACATTCAAAGATGGGAGGAGGAGACTGAACCCTCAGCTTTGTCCGTTTGGGCTTTGGTGTGGGTTGCTCAGAAGCATCTCTTTTTCAGCACCGATGGTCCTCAGATGATAAACTTCCTTTCGCACTGGTGGGAAAGGAGGGGTCAATTCTGTGGGGCCAGGATTGATTATTCACCAAAATTTTAATTTTCACCAGTAAAAGCTGCCCCAAACAGTTCGTTTGAAAAATGAAATGTGCCTGAGCCAGCAGCCGGGGCCAAATTTTACACGAGGAGCAGCTTTGTGAGCGCCGAGGACTCTGACGCAACAAGCTGCCGAGAAAAGAATCAGGAGGGAGAGGCTTTGGTAAAAGAGGGGTTTGACTGTGGGAGGATCTGTAAATACACTGCACTGAAAAGAAGAAGAAAGAAAAACAGCAACAGTTCTGTTTGCGTATGACCGTGTGTGAGAGCCGGAGTCGTGTGCTGCGGGATGCATGTGGAGTTGATGGCACCGTCCTGCAGGAGGGCCTTTGTGCAATGGAGATGTGCACCACATGAGCCCTCACACCAGGTTGTACTCTTTGAGGTTGAGCTGCAGGATGGTGTCTTTGACAGCTGCAAACACGAAGCGGATGTTCTCAGTGTCCGTGGCACAAGTGAAGTGGGAGTAGATGATCTTGTCGCTGTCTGGGTTCAAGTCCACAAACATTTTGAGGATGAACTCCCGCGCTGCCTGAGCATCTCTCTGAGGACCTAAAACGTGACACAAAATTGATGCGAAGATGAAAATAAGCTGCGTTCCACTTATCTCGAATGTCAGGAGTCACATAGGGAAATGACACTACACCCAACTTTGCTGTCTTACAGATGCAAATCTGAAAACCAGATTTGCTAATTGTTCTGCTAAGAAACCAAGATGACTATTAGCAATACAATGACAGTTAAAAGGTGAAGCCGTCCTTAAAGGAATGCATAATGTCCAGTGTCCTGATGCTGCTCAATAATCCAGATGGATCAATCTAATCAGGTTGAGTCAAGTCCTCTGGACTTTCATGCCAGAGTTTGAAACTAATAAATTAATCTTCTAATCTAATCCTCAGTTAAATGGAGATAACTTATTTTTATGTATGAATGTTTCTGCTCAGTGTCCTGAGATGACTTCTGTTGTGACTGGGTGCTATAGAAATAAACTGAAATGAATTGAATGAGGGCCCTGTGATGGATCCAGGGTGCACCCCGCCCCTCGCACTGTGATTGCTGGACATGGGCACCGGCGACCCCCGTGACCCAAAATGGAAGAAGCGGGTAAAGATAATGGATGAATGGATAAACACTCAACCCTCTAGTGGGCGTTTCCTTCCGCTTTAAGAAGAGCTGACACAAAATGGCGACCAGTTTCCTCTGTGGCTTTGACCAGAGGGTCTCGCAGTAAAATCACACAACACAGCGTTCTTTTCACAGATCAGAGAGCAGGTTTCTCTAAAGCTGACCGACGCTTAATTTAACTTTCGACGGGAAAAAAAAACAACAACTTTCGACGGAACGCAGCGTTTTGAGCATGCGTCCGAATACGGCAACACTACGGCAAGCCGGCTGTAGTTAGCTTGTAGCTTCACTAATTAGCTCTCGAAGAAAATACTTTAACACCACTTACGCACAGTTTTCAACAAAAAAAAGTAACGATTAAACTGACAACTCTGATTTTACTTCAGCCACAGCATTACTGCGGTTAGCCGGTAGAAGACAGACCTCTATCGTAGGCTCAATGTCTATCGTTTCTAACGTGTACCGTATATATCGCGTATTCCTAACAGGTAACATACACAAACAAGTACAGTAAATGTTTTTTTTCTGAACAGTACCTGTACCGCGGCTGGTTAAAAAAGATAAAAATACCGGTACAGTAGCCTACCAGGAAAAGTCACTGAACACTATCTTGATTCCTCCTGTGCACTAAAACCACTAAAGTCTTCTTCGGTGTCAGAATTGAACAGCCTCAGAAAAAACTTCATCACGCATGTCCTCAGTCTCTCTTTAGTTGTCGCTCTCAATGTCACTTTCATCTCAAGATAAATTCGACCTTGAGCCTGTGCTGTCCTCGTCATCACGCAGCAGTCCAGCCTTTCGAAACCTGTTGGTGACTTTTTACACTGATCCACTGGCAGACTGCAGCAAAAGTTGTCAGTTTTTGTGAACAATTTCTCGCCGCTAGTTCTCCAAGCCTCCCACTGAGCTCGGAGTGCCACTTTAAATGCACGATTCACACTTATGTCAAGAGGCTGCAAATATGTCCTTGTGCCCCCATGGATCACACGTTTCACATGATCATGAGACGTGTATTGGGCAGCTATGTGAGCGCCCGAGTGTGACGAGGCTAAATGTTTTAACGGCATGACGCTCATTAGCACGTAAAAATCCATAAATCAGCCGCATCACTGTACAAGCCGCAGCTTTTAAAGCCTGTGGAAAAAGTAGCAGCTTATAGTCTGGAAATTACGGTAAACATTTTTGTGTTTCCAAAGGCTGGCATCTTAAATCAGGTCAACCCTAGATGTGCATCCAATGACCACTTTCTGTCAGTTCCAATGAATTCTAGCTTGTGGTTGAGATATTTTGCTAAATGGCAATCTGGCTCACATACATTCCTTGAATCTGTTAAATCAGCTATTTCACTGGGATCAACACAAGAACGCTGCATCTGATGAGTCAACACACAAACTGGATGAACTCACCATCGAACTCAGGAAAATAATCAACCAAATGCGAGTAGGTGATCTTCTCCTCCAACAGGTCCTTCTTGTTGAGGAAGAGGATGACTGAGGAGTTTTGAAACCAGGGGTAGGTGATGATCGTCCTGAACAGAGCCTTACTCTCCTCCATACGGTTCTGATGCACAAAACAAAGAAACAGACGTAACATGACTACAACGGTTCAGCTTCTGGATGTTCTTTTGATTTATTTTTATTCTTTCTCATTCACCTCATTGTCGGACTCCACCAGGACCTGGTCATACTCACTCAGGGCCACAAGGAACATAATAGAAGTGACATTCTCAAAGCAGTGAATCCACTTCCTCCTCTCTGACCTCTGACCCCCAACATCCACCATCCTGATGGGAACATTGCAGTTTAGGAGGACATGTTAGAAAAGAAGGCTTGGTAGTTTTGTTCATTTTAAATAAGCGTTCGAAAGTAAACCTAAGTTTGATCAGCGTTAAACCAAGTAAAAAAATTAAAGAATTTGTTTCTGCTTTATGAACAAAGATTTTGAATCCATCAAGATTTAAAGCAGATATTAAATCTGACATTTAAAAATACGGTTTGTATTTTATCTAGTTAACTCAACATGTTCCTAATTTTCTCAATACATGTTCGGCGTTGGAAAAAGTAGCTACGTTTTCTATTCTCACTCAAAATTTGAAAATTTTTATTTATTTACGTCTTTAGTTTTTTTGTAACATATCAAGTTTGTACAATAATGCAGTTTTGCTGAATGTGAGACATGTTCACATATTTCAGGTATTGTTCCTAATTTAAAATAATACATTTCCAGTGTATCACGTGAGGACAAAACTATATAATAATGTTAAAGGTGTTTGTTTCCCTTGAACTTTTCTGCTCTGCTGTTTTTAAAATATCTTACATTGAAAGATTTGCTTTGCCGTGACAAATTATTATTACCGCACATAGAAAAATGTCTCAGTTCTTCTTATTATTATTATTTATTATTTTTATTATTATTTGAGTCTGGTTTAGGTAATAGGCCTGGATATCCTAATCAGCTAAACAGGGGGTCTGCAACCTGCGGCTCTGGGGCCACATGTGGCCCTTTGGTCAAACTGCTGTGGCACTGAAGCTTCGACATAAACTAACATGAAATTAAATTTATTTTGTTTTTCTACAAACAACAAAAAGGCTAGTTTTAACAGTTTTCTGTCAATTTACTACAAATTTGGGAATAATACTAATACAAGGAGCATAAAATAATTAGATTGAGCAAATTAATTGATCTAACTCCCAGCCTTTCAGTGGGATCTTTCTGTCAAATCCACCAGAGATGATTTGAAACACTTTTAGGACAAGTTGCTTAGAAGAAATATGGTGAGTCAATTTAATGAAAATAAACAAACAAAAAACACAACTAAAGTTAAAGAAAAGCTTTTGTTTTTAATTTAGATATACAAGTGCTGATCATAAAATGAGAATATCATGAAAAAGTTGATTTCAGTAATTCCATTCAAAAAGTGAAACTTGTATATTATATTCATTCATTACACACAGACTGATATATTTCAAATGTTTATTTTAATGTTGATGATTATAACTGACAACTAATGAAAACCCCAAATTCAGTATCTCAGAAAATTAGAATATTGTGAAAAGGTTCAATATTGAAGACACCTGGTGCCACACTCTAATCAGCTAATTTACTCAAAACACATGCAAAGGCCTTTAAATGGTCTCTGTCTAGTTCTGTAGGCTACACAATCATGGGGAAGACTGCTGACTTGACAGTTGTCTAAAAGATGACCATTAACACCTTGCACAATGAGGGCAAGACACAAAAGGTCATTGCTAAAGAGGCTGGCTGTTCACAGAGCTCTGTGTCCAAGCACATTAATAGAGAGGAGAAGGGAAGGAAAAGATGTGGTAGACAAAAGTGTACAAACAATAGGGATAACCGAACCCTGGAGAGGATTGTGAAACAATACCCATTCCAAATGTGGGGAAATACAAAAAGAGTGGACTGCAGCTGGAGTCAGTGCTTCTAGAACCACCACATACAGATGTATGCAAGACAAGAGTTTCAGTTGTCACATTCCTTGTGTCAAGGCTCTCTTGAACAAGAGACAGCGTCAAAAGCGTCTCGCCTGGGACTGCTGCTGAGTGCTCCAAAGTTATGTTCTCTGATGAAAATAAATTTTGCATTTCCTTTGAATCAAGGTCCCAGACTCTGGAGGAAGTGAGGAGAGGCACAGAATCCATGTTGCTTGAGGTCCAGTGTCAAGTTTCCACAGTCAGTGATGGTTTGGGGTGCCATGTCATCTGCTGGTGTTGGTCCACTGTGTTTTTTGAGGTCCAAGGTCAATGCAGTCATCTACCAGGAAGTTTTAGAGCACTTCCTGCTGCTGAACAACTTTATGGAGATGCAGATTTCATTTTCCAACAGGACTTGGCACCTGCACACAGTGCCAAAGCTACCAGTACCTGGTTTAAGGACCATGTGTCCCTGTTCTTAACTGGCCAGCAAACTCACCTGACCTTAACCCCATAGAAAATCTATGGAGTATTGTGAAGAGGAAGATGAGATACACCAGACCCAACAATTCAGAAGAGCTGAAGGCCACTATCAGAACAACCTGGACTCTCAGAACACCTGAGCAGTGACACAGACTGATCCACTCCATGCCACAACGCATTGATGCAGTAATCCAGAGAAAAGGAGCCAAAACTAAGTATTGATGCTGCACATGTTCATACTTTTCATGTTCATACTTTTCAGTTGACCAACATTTATAAAAAATCTTTTTTTAATTGGTCTTAAGTTTTATTCTAATTTTCTGAGACACTGAATTTGGGGTTTTCATTTTCATATAAAGTCAGTTATAATCATCAACATTAAAAGAAATAAACATTTGAAATATGTCAGTCTGTGTGTAATGAATGAAAATAATATACAAGTTTCACTTTTTGAATGGAATTATTGAAGTAAATCAACTTTTTCATGATATTCTCATTTTACGACCAGCACCTGTACAATAAATCACAATTACATATCCCAACAAAATGAACTTTAAATGTATGTTTTATTATTTCAAAATAGGACATTTAATTTTTCCACAAATAAAAGGCTGACTCACAGGAGTTCAGTGTTATAATTCATATCAAGTTGGGCATATAGTATATTTCCCCCTTTTTACACAAATATGACCTTTTCTTTTGTCCTCAAGAAAATATTAATTTATTACTTTCGCCCAACAAACTTGAAGTGGCCCATGGGCCACCAGTTGATTATCACAATTGTAGCCGGTTTTGTGGCTCTGAACAAATTTATTTTAGAGCGCCAAGGGGCAGAAACAGCCTCTTTTTAATCAAAAAGGTTGCAGACCCCTGAGCTAAACAAATAAAGTTGTTACATTTTCCTTGTTCTGTCAATATACAAGATATATCCAACGACATATGATGAACTGTGGGTTTTATTTCTAGTAAAATAGTTTTATTTCAAGATGTAGTAGTATATAAACCAGAAATGAACATTGCTTTTTATTTATAGCTAATGTGAAAAAACTACCTGCTCACTTGAGCAACTTTGAGTTTTTTTATGCAATAGGTCAAGTGTAGAAACACTAAAGCTTGTCTAGGGTCGGTTTTTTCTATTTTCCATATATACCCACACGTGAAATACTAAAATCTAATTCTACACTCTTTAAACTGTGTGGCCTTATTTAAACACAGCCAATTAGTGAACTGTGTAAGCAGCTGTGTCTCAGTCCTCAGTACTTATACACAAATCTGATATGAGTTTGTACTTCTGCGTGATCCGTGGTAAAAGCATTTGTCAGCTTTCCCAGGAGTGCACGATAACAACAACTGTCAAGCTCTGAAGCACACTTTGAGACAAGAGAAAAAAGGAGAAGTGAAATGAAAGACAAAAGAGGAGCTGAGAAGTGGGACACAGAGCAGACGGAGGACAAACAGAAGACCGTGGGAAGAGCAGAAACTGGTGTGAAAGTGATTTAAACAAACGTGAGCCAAACGTTAGTATTAGGAGTCAGATCAGGGAGGAGCAGGAAGCGAGTTATGGATCACTGATGGTACTGAAGAGCATCCAAACTCACAGAATGTGAATTCAGGGTCTCCGAGCCTCTCCTTGACAAAGTCATTCCTCCATCTGGGACTTCAGGTCCCAGTTTCATTAGGCCTTCATTTGGCACAAATCAATCAGTACAATCTCTCAAGTCACAAAACTTTTCCAGTCCAAGCAAAGAACGAACAATATTTGAACAATTACACGTCTTGTTTTGTGACATGTTCCGTTAAAACAACACAAAAAACACTCGGAACCGATTCAGTGCTGTGTCTGACAGGTTGACCACAATCAGCTGTGCTTCACGATGCAATGGTGCCCCCTAGTGGTGGCCCAGTCCACGGTGGTCCGCAGAGACCTGGGGCCAATACAGGCCCTGCAGGACCTGCTGCCCAAAATAACATTCCTCCACAGCGGAGAGGACGACCTCATTTCTTGTGACAGCCGGGGATGAAGGCAGGAGGAAGAGAGGAGGTGACCCACTTACAGAGACCGGGCACCAGAACGGAGGACTTGGTGTTCATTAGTGGTTGGTTCTGTGTGTGACTGTTCCCAAAGGCAGCAGGTACGTAACTTACTGCAACAGCAATCAACATTTTTTTTTATTGCAAGGAAGCGTTCAGAGATGTAGACAAACAAAAGTTCATTCATTAATGAGGGATAGAAAGATGAATTATATAGGGGATCAGAAAAAAAAAGATGATTATCTCATGAGAAACCACAAAGGGACGCAGCTACAGCGGCCATCTTTCTACCTGAAAATGATGCTTTGCAAGTCGAATGGGTACTCTATGATTCCTGTAGTAGGGATGCGCACTCTGAGTACATCCTGCTGAGTAGGAAGATAGTTGGGATCGGCAATACGATCCAGATCCGAAAGATAGCTACAAGAAGGCCATGGAGAAGAGAGGAAGAAAGGGGAAGAAGAAAAAACAAAAGACAGGAAAACAGTTATATAAAGCGTGACAAGAAATTATAGCAACCCTCTGCAGTTCCAGTAAAAAGAGCTGCTCAGTCCTGTGGAAGAGGATACAGGGAGGAGCTGAGAAACAAAAAGGTGTTAGTTTGGCTCCACCAGCACTCTGTGCACAGACCCATCAAATCTGATGTAGCTTTATGTTGAAGTGAAAAGAACTGCACGGAGGTCCACGCACTGATGGGTTGTGGTGCACACAGTGAGGTGGCAGCAGTGACTTCAGCAGCATTTGGGTCGTATAAAGAAGGATTGAACAAGTTTAGAATCAAAGATAACAGGAAATATAAGCCTTCCCTTTGATTTAAAACATGAGCTTTTAATTGATTTCATTTTACTTTCAAGTGAACGGTCAGATCCCATTTTAAAATAACATTTTGAAGAGAGTTATCGGTCATAAAGCACCGGGTATGAAGAAAAGGGCAGAAGTCTTCATCCAGGTTAGGCTAAGCTTTTAATATAATTTTCCAAAAATAACTTCAAACACTGGGTTTATGAATGCATGGGTTGGTTTTAGGCCTGTCATGATAACAGATTTTTGCAGGACGATTAATTGTCTCAGAAAATATTGTGATAAACGATAATATTGTTTGAAATTTGACAATAATTTGTAATTATTGTCAAATTTAAAAAGAAATGTTGGTTAATTTGTTTTGAGTGTAGTACCTTTTTTGACACTGGATGGCAGTATAAGACAGTTTGAACCGAAGGATGGAAAGTGAGGGAGCAAGCAGCGTGTCTCTAAGAAAAACGGGAGGGAGGCCCCTTGACGTGACATGGGCTGTCTCTCGTTCCCGTTTTTGGGTTCTCAAAATGGTGGACGCTCTGTGTGGTTTGAGCTCTTTAATATAACATTTGTCACACAAACCTTTTAATTAAAAAAAAAAATCAGTAAACAAGTTCTCAGCTTCTTTTTGCAGAGAAAAACAACTTTTTACACGAAGGCACGAGTTTCAACCGTGAATTTTGGAGCTTTGACAAGACGGAGGTTTTTTTCTCGAGGTCGGCCTGTTAGCTTAGCTCGTAGCTTAGCTTCTCAGCTTAGCTACTTTAAACGATCCAAAAACGTGATTTTGGATCGTTAAAATGGATTTTAAAGAGAAAGGGAGAGGTCAGTGAAGAACAACGTAGTTGAGCTTTTTGTCATCCAGTGTCTTCAGTAGAAAGAGAGACACGAAGAAACGATAAAGCCGATAAATGAAAATGAGGTCAATAATTTAAATTTATCATGGATTAATTGATTTATTGTTCATCGCGACAGGCCTAGTTCGTTTACGCTCAGCACGTACATTCTCACAGTAACATGGACCTGTTGAGAAAACAGCAACAAACTAAAAGGAGTAGAAGTTTAACATCGGCTAATGCAGCGTTCTTTCACACCTGTATGACGTTTTTGACAAAGAGTTGTTTTGTAAGCTTGAAATGACAAAACAGGCCTTTGTTTGGCTAGCCGTTAGCCTAGCCCAGATGAAGACTTCCGCCCTTTTCTCCACACTGTGGGCTTTACATCACAGCTAGTAATATACTAACTACTGATAAATATTTGACAGAACATCACTTCAAAAATGACCAGACTATCCCTTTAAACATGCTTTTAGTCTGTTTTTAAAATCACTTCCTGTAGAATCTTTGATTTTCTTGCCTAATCCTCCTTTATGTGTTACTCTGTGGCCGTTCCCCACACACTACAGTGCAGCATGTCTCGCCTTCTGCCAACACAACTCCAAACACAAACCACTGAACTCTAACCACATTAACTGCAGTTTTCATTTACCTCGTTAGGACAACTCCGTCTATTCAGAGTTAGAATTTGGAGCGGTTTGCAGATTTAGAATGTGTGTCTCGATGGCAAAACAGGATACCGAAAGGCATCAGTGATTTATGTCTTCTACCCATAATGATGCTGCAAATCCTGGTGCTCTGGGGGGAGGGGGGTACCTGAAGATGACGTTCTCCAGATCAAATGGGTACTCTATTATACCCGTGGTGGGAACGCGGACCCTCAGCACATCCTGCTGGGTGGGAACATATCCCTCTGCAGTCACACGGTCTATGTCACTAAGGTAACTGGAGATAAACATGAACACTTTGGATAACACTGAAACAAAGACAAATGCTACGCTTCAGTTACACTACCCCCCAACACACACACACACACACACACACACACAGAAAATACACACATTCCACACTAAAAGCAACACTGAACTGCAGTACAGGGATACCATCACCAGGGGGCACTATAAAATATAGCCTCTGGCAGTACAGCCCAGGGTTACTTTTATTGTAACTTCAGGTGAGTAAGTTTAGCTTAAAATACAGACATTAATTATAAATTTAAACTATAAAATGATGAAGTACATTTTCACCTCCCAACCTGATATAAACGGAGCTTAAATAAAAGCTTAAAAAGTACAACCAGTACACTATTTTGCACATTTATTAATGCTGCTCTTAATTTTTAGCTACAATTACGGCAGAAACATGCTGCCAGCAGCCATTGTATTAATTTAAACTGATTAGTGGAGTCGTCTGGTGGTTTTACGACACTGGAATCCCAACCACAAGTTTGGAACCCACACCTTTTGCTAGTATATTTGTATATAAAGCAAAGTAATAACTTTACTTTGTATTGGAGTTTGCTCACTCTGACAGCAGCTTGTCTAGAGTTTCTGGACAAGAAAAAAGGACAGGCATGATGCGTCTTTAACGTTGGGCTTTACAGTAGCTGTTTGGTACATCATGAACTCTTTGAATGGCACACATACCTTCAACTTTAATAAACCTCAAAGGCATACTACATATCTAAAGAGTCACTAATTAACTATTAAATCCCAAATTATAATTGTATGTAAGTGCTGTCAGGCTTTGAAACTTTTATTGTGAAATCTAATCACACACAGTCATGGCTGTAAAGTGGCTCCTGTGCTACTCCACCCAGCATTTATTACAAAGCCAACACAGTAATTGTACACAGATTAATACAGACATGTACACACAAGCTGCCGACGACCGCAGTTCTAAACACACCTTAATTTGTCTGAGCATTTATGTCTTACTACCAGGAAAAAAAACCCTCATGAAACAAAAGCATAAATATATATATATTTTCTCTTTTTTTAATTTTGGTGAACTTGCATGCACTCTTTCACTTGATCATAAAACATCCTGGGTCTAAACTAAACTAATATTTCTTAAAGGAACGCGTATCGCCCACCACCTTGTGATGCAAAGATGTTGCATGATCTGTTGATGCCACAGGTTGTTTCATACTCCATCAGAAGCAGAGAAATGGGCTCTCATTGACGTAGTTGTGTAACGAAAATCACCTCGTTTTGCTCTAGCTGTTGTGTTCATGTGGAAAAGTGCCCCGACAGCAATATTGCTATTTCGCTTCAACTACGCGGCTTCCAGAAGCCGGCTGTTGTGCGTGCAAGCAACATAGACAGCTTTGAAGAAAATACACCCATCTTTACAACACTTTTAAGCATTGCACAACTGATATATCAGTAGGGGGAGATATGTTAGGCTGATATAGGCCTGTGGGGACATATGGGTATCGGTGATAATAGGCCCATTATGTGCCGATATAAGCACTTCTAATTTTCACCCCTAAAATTTTGGAACAAGCCGTGTCCTTAATTGCAAATGGCGTAATTGCACAATGTATCCAGCAGAGGGCACATGTGGACTACTTTCAAGTCATGGCCGTTCACTTTAACTTTCACTTTCACCACAGTAAAAGCAGGGAGCAATACTGTGCAGCGTATTTTGTTGAACAGAGCATGGTAAGTTTATTTTAAATGATCTGTAAAACAAATCAACAATAATAAATTATCTTCAATCCTCCAACCAGCTTGTCATTCACTACATGCCTCTCAAGTTAGCAAGCTAACATTTAGCTAACCTAGCATAGGCTATTGCCTTGTAAAACTTTTTCCACAACTTTAGATCATAGAGGTAAAATATATCAGTGTTAGTAACGTTATCTTTGTCGTCCTCAATGAAATGCATTGTTTGTCTGAAATTTTCTCTGCAAAGAAAAATAAACTCTGCTGTGGTCAATATTAATTAGACCTTCACCAGACGCGACTGACTGTTTAAACAATGAACAGAGAAGGGCGTTTCTTTGTTTAATTTATATTTTTCTAACACACTTGATAACTTTATGGTGAATAGTGAAGGATAGAAAATGTGAACACGTTAGGAAGTAGGGATGCACGATATTGGATTTTTGGCCGATATGCTGATATGTTAAAACTTATTTGTCCGATAACCGATACCAATATTTTATATACTTGTCTTTGTCAGAACATAGCATCTTATTTAGGCTTATTTGCTACTAAAATTGTGTAGCAGCTGTAAGAGCTGGTGACATATATTCAGTTACAGCCATAAGATCTATAGAGCACTTTAACTTATATAATGAAAAGTGTTAAATGTTATTTATTAGCATTAGTCACCTGTGATGCTGTCTCACTTGTGGAGGTTTGTTCCAGGTTCCTAGCTGCAGTGTGGGATCCTCTGCACTCGTGTGCATGAAGGACAGACTTTATAAGATCAAAGTTTTTGTCTATCCATTGTGTTGTAGGACTGATCATGCTAACGGGGCTAACACTTGACGTCCAAATGTCTGTGGTAAAACTCACCCAAGTGCTATCGGCTATTAGCTTCTCAATGACGTCGGAAATGACAGCTGGTAACTCTGATAAGTTTACATCAGAAAAATATCTCTGACTGGGGACGATGTAGCGAGGCTCAACGTAGTCCAAAAATCTTTGGAATCAGACATCCTCAACGGAAAAAAAAAACCTTCCACACCGCAGACATTTTGAATTTTCCTCTCCGCCATGAGATCAGGTAGGCGTGCGTGACGTCATCATGTTGTGCTGCCGCTGCAGGTGTCCTTGTCACTGGGTTGTCATAAAAAAACAGCGTCTTTTATATCTGTGTTACTTTGATGGAATGGCCAATACTGAACTTTAACGTTATTATCGGCCGATACCGATACCATGCCGATAATATCGTGCATCCCTATTAGGAAGATGTTTCAAGACTCCCAAGTGTTAAAACAGGTTTAAAAGTAGCTGTTTGCTTAAGATTCTTGGGGGTGGACAAAGCTAAAAATATTTTCAGCCAATACATCAGTTAGCGACATTAACCTTCCCCTCCCAATATCAGTATCAGTGATAGCCAAAATGTTCATATTGGTTGAGATCTGCTTTTGAAAACAGTCAAATGACCAACAACTCCTGGATGGATTGCACAGCCATTGTGCCGAGTCCATCTGAAAAATAGTATGGCACTATTTTTGAGACAGATTTGTGGCCAAACGGCAAATAAAGGGACTGAGTGGAGACCCTGGTGTGAAAATACTCCTGACGTGACGTACACTGCAGTGGGAGTGGTTTCCCAGGAGTTCTGCACCGTGTGTCTCATGGACTATGAACGGTGCGTGTCATAATAAACGTCTCACAACCACGTGACCGCGAGCCGCCTGTTCGGCTTCAGATGTAGTATGAACCAACCTTAAGAGCATGTGCTGGATTACCTCCTGAAAGTTTCAATAAAATCTGTCAAGTGTAAAAGATATATTTTGCTAACAGACAGACAAACCCACACAATTACTCACATTTCATTATTGCCTGCTTTTCATGGCAGCAGGGGAAATTACATGAAGTTCGTTATAGACAGACAAATTCCCATTTATTCAAACATCGTCATAAATGACAGGATACAGGTTTGGAAACAAACATTTTTATCATTAATTACCAATTTTTTATTTATTTATTTGAGAAATATAAAATTGCTTCTTAAAAAGAAATCTAGTTTTTTGTAAACTTCTGCGTTTAACACGAGCCAATACTGAGAATAACAGACGATAAACTCACTGAAGTTTCCAAACCAGCATGAGACAGGAAACCAAAGTTAAAAAAGCACCCACAGACCATAAATACTGTTCTTAGACACTAATCAGACATTATACTCGCTGTCTCTCAGAGACACAGAGAAAAATGGACAGACGTACTATTTAGTTGAGTCAGAGAGCTGGTACTCTCTGCGACGGTCGTAAGACTCCTGGATGCCCGGGTCAGCCCACAGGCTTTTAATAGCTACAACGTAGTGCTGGTCAAACCCGTTGATCTTCTCAATATCCACCTCCTTAACAAGCATGGCGTTGGCCTGGGAAGAAAAGTGACAGGAGATAAGTGATGAAAATGGTTTGAAAGACGACAAATAACGCATATTAAGAAGTCCATCCTAACCACCCAAGATTATATCCTCAAATTAAAATGTTTTAACAGGAAAACTGGTGAAATTTAATTAGTTTGTCCATCTTGCATAAACAAAAAATTATTGAAAACTAAATATTCAGTTACTACCGTAAATAACTGATTGCTATAACTCATAATGTTGATGTGCCCTGGACTAAGCGGAGTTGACTAAAATGTTTGAGTCTTTTGGCTGTATTTATATTTTTCCATTGCACTCAAATGCATCTTAAACTCAAAACTGCAAACATTCTCTTAGAAAGACACACGGGATCTTCAAACACAGATGGAAATCCATATTTAGATTTCAACTTTCAATAAAAAAAAAAAATTATAAATAAACAAATAGATCAATAAATTAAATTGTTTAAAATAAACTACAATTGGACTAAAAATCTATATCTCGGGTGGCGTCAAAAAGAGAAAAGATCAGAAAATGTTAAATGGAAACCAAAAAAAAAAGAAACACTACTATTAAAGAAAACTTTTGCACAACCTGATCCATAATCTTCCTCAACTTACAAACATTTAAGATATAATAGATGTCATAATAAGGAATGTTTTGTACTGTAATGCTTTTGGTTTCAATTGGTTATATGGGTTTAATCTGTGATAACATTAAAAATCCCACTAAATGCTCATCTTTCACTACCAAAAAAAACAACTGCACAACTTGTAATAAATAAGAAAAATTGGCAGAATCGTGTTTTGTTGCCATCAATTTTGATCCGTTCGTTTACATTCAAATGCTGAAGAGTGCACTTAGTTGGGACAGTTGGGTTTATCTTCTGAAAAGAAACAACGAAAAACGTTGAGAGTTGACAGAGGTAGAGTGATTCAGGAGCAAGAAAACAAGCGGTGGAGGGTTTTAAAGCAAAAGTTTGCACAACTTTGAACTCTAATGGGAGAATTTTAACAACTGATCACTGAATTTATGCCGTTTTCTAACAAAGTTCCCAAAAACTTGTACGAGTTTATTTTTACTTTATTTTTACTGTAGTTTATCGTTTATCATTACTGTTGTTTGTACTTTACATGTTCCTTCTGGAACGGGTCTCTCTTGTAAATGAGTCCTCGTGGCTCAATGAGATTAACCTGTATAAATAAAGGTTGAATGAATGAGTTTGATTTATATTAACCCTAAAACAATCATTTATTGATGTGGAAATTGTGTTTGCAGAATAAAAATTTGAATCAAAAACACTGAAAATGTGTATATTTGGCAGCTATGGTGTTAAAAATGATAAAATAACAGTAGTTCTGTGTCTTATTCGTTAAACCTTTCTTTCTACATTGATGTCCACAGAATACAATATAAAGGACTCAAAAGAGAACAAAGGTTTTCCAATTTCTGTGGGTCAGGACTTACGCGGTTCTGTTCATATTTGAACGGGATCTTGAGGGTCTCCATGGCGCGGATCATGGCCTGCATGGAGGTGAAGATGTTTTGGTAAACAAGACGAATGAAGCCCCTCTTGTCTTCATCTGAGTAACCAGCACCGTGAATGATCCTCATCTGTTTGATGAAGGTGCTTTTGCCACTTTCTCCCGTACCTTAAAAGGGCACAAAACACAGAAACAGACGTCAAACCAAGAGCAAAACCTGGTCAGACTACAAGGCCAAAAACGTAGAGGCTGAACTGTCCATACTCGTCCAAACCATCAACTTGATTCATTTATCTGCAAATAGCAACTGGTAAAGTAACGGTCTGCAAACTACATATCTTTCTATTACAGATTAAAAAATGTTGGTGATGATTTAGCACAGTTAAAAAGTACAGAACGAACCCCAAAGCTTTGTTTTGTCTTCTCTTTTATAAATTATTTAACCACATTAGTCTTTGGACCTTTAGAGCTTATTTGATCGACATCTTAGATGTGAAAAAAAGATATATTTAGTCGGTATTTGTAAAAAAAAAAAGTTTTTGAACTAAAGGATCAGTGATACACTAAAACCACGTGAAACAAAAATACTTTTAGAAACTAATATTTTGCAGAGTGTAAGGAAAGTTAGGGAAGTTTTTACAACAAAAGAAACTGTGACAAACTAAAACTTCCAGTTTCTCTCTTCACTTTAGTTGAGGGCCTTTCAGACCAAACGTAGCAAAGGCAGCACTGAAATCCATTCATTTACCACGATATGTGCAAAAGTAATGATTGACTGATGTCAAAGCAGCCCATGGAAAATATACGCTTACTGATATAAAAAAACACACAAATTTTCAAGTTATTGTGCAGTCCTATTTGGCATTATTTCTAAACTGAAAGCCCCCATTACTTCTTCCTCACTGTTTGTCTTCCTGCTTGTGAATATAACACTTTTATACTGTTAAAAAAGTGTCCCGTTTTGACAAAGAAATCAAGAAACCCTCATGACATCAGGATGATTTATTGACGCCAGGAATATGAAAACTTGCTTAATTTAGTTTGACCAACTGATTTGATGTACAAGTATACAAGTATAAAAATTTGGACTAGATGATTCTAACAAAACTGAAATACCCATGACATGACAATATGTGGTGACAACAGCATTAGCAGCATAGAAATTCAAAGAACAATCCTTGATTTCATACTTTTTATTTGTACCAGGACTGTTACAATAACAAATTTTGCTGGACGATTAACTGTCTCAAAAATTATTGCGATAAACGATAATATTGTTTGAAATTTGACAATAATTGGTAACTATTGTCAAATTTAAGAAGAAATGTTTGTTAATTTGTTTTGCATGTAGTACCTTTTTTCAACCACCGGATGGCAGTATAAGACAGTTTGAATCAAAGGATGGATAGTGAGGGAGCGAACAGCATGTCTCTTTAAGAAAAATGGGGGGGGGGGGGGGCCTTGACGCGGGCTGTCTCTCTTCGGTTCTCAAAATGGCGGATGCTCGGTGTGGTTTGAGCTCTTTAGCATAGCATTTTTCACACAAAGCTTTTAATTAAAAAAAAAAAAATCAGTAAACAAGTTCTCAGCTTGTTTTTGCAAAGAAAAATTTTTTACATGAAGGCACAGGTTTCAACCGTAAATTTTGGAGCTTCGACAAGAGTTTTTTTCCCCGAGGTCAGCCTGTTAGATTAGCTCGTAGCTTAGCTTCTCAGCTTAGCTGCTTTTAATGATTCAAAAACACAATTTTGGACAGTTAAAACAGATTTTCACGAGAAGAGAGAAAGGGAGGGGTCAGTGAAGAGCACCAGAGTTGAGCTTTTTGTCATCCTGTGTCTTCAGTAGAAAGAGAGAGACATGAAGAAATGATAAAGCCGATAAATGAAAATGAGGTCGATAATTTTCATTTATCATGCGATTAATCGATTTATTGTTTATCGTAACAGGCCTAATCTGTACCAAAACTTCAAACCAAATCTGGGTTCAACAACAGATGCACAACGAAAAGCACATATGGGATAAACAATATGAAGACGAGCTCCACAAAATGCATCGTTTTAAAGCTAAATAAATCAGCACAGCCTTCTACGAAAACAGTAGTTCCTCGCTACTTAGCGGTTCATGTTTCGCAGACTCGCTTTATCGCAGTTTTTCAAAATAAGATTGGAGAGGACACACAATTGGCTGATTGATGGATGAGCCGCACGATCGGCATGGATTTTTTAATCAAAATAAACTATTTTAAAACCTCTGTGCGGCTCACACTGCAGGAGAAGCTTCCTCCTGCAGTGTGTCGTATCTCCACTCTACAGTGGAGAAGTGGGCGTGGCCGAGAGCGATGGCAGGTGGTAGAGAGCAGGCATGGCCATGGCAGAGAGCTGAAATCATGACACTCTGTGCTCTTTTAGAGAGTTTAGTTTAGAAACATTGTACAGAGTATTGAAAGAGTGTGGGAAAGGTTTAAAAGGTCTTATATATATATATACACACACACACAATAAAATAAACTACTTATTACTGTTTTACTATTCCTACGTCGCAGTTTTTCCACTTACTGTGGGGCTTCAGTCCCTGCGATAAACAAGGGACTACTGTATAAGCATCCACATAAAAACCTAAAGCTCAAATAGGTCCGTTTCAGATGTTATAAAATCCATCAGCTGAAATCCCACATTGATTGACTAAACAAGTTATAATGACAAATATGTCAAAGCTTCTTTTTCCAATGTCAGAAACAGATCTACGGTTTGGAAACTGGACAAACCCAAAAAAGCTTCCAAGATGTTGGAGGGACAATTGGAGGAAAATATGAGCTCAATAAGTGAAAGTGATTGAGGCAACATGTCCTAAATTCTGGATCTTGTCCTGAAGGTGACAGTGGGCTTCATTTCTTGTTATTCTCCTCTGACTTTCCTTGTCCACATCTAATTTTAAGATTTATACTCGCATTAAGACATTAACAATTTGTTTAAAGGAACAATTCTTTAGTGTAAAACCAATAACAGCATTTAGTAAAATGGCATTCAAGTGGTTTAAGAGCCACAATGATTTATCAGCCCTTCACATTGCCAAGAAACATCACCTCGAGGGCATAAGAAGAAGAAAAAAACTGATGATACGTCAGTCTTCAGCCATAATAAAAAGGATCCAGCACATCCATAATATCTGTAAAACGGAAAGGGAAAGACAAGGATGAAAAAATAAAAACACGCTCATCTCACTACCACCTACATTCAAGGTTTTTGAAGAGCAGCCATATTTCTGTTACCATGGCAACTATGCTCCGTCTCACTGGCTTTTTTCATTCCTCTGTGTGGCGTGTGTGTTTGTTCCCCTTGCTTTTCTAAACCCCTCCCATCCGCCCCTTCTCTCTGCTCGTTTTTGTTGCGGACAGTAAATGACAGAGAGCCCCGTCAGGGTTGCTCTGTGCTCTTCATCCTTCATCCCACAGAGAAGAAGGGCCCGAGCTCCTCAGAGATTTTGGGGAAACAAAGTTGGGGGTGGGGGGAGCAGAGCTGAGGTCAGTAGCCGGTTGCTAGGGATAGCTAGCGTCCCTGTCCATGCAAGAAAAAAAAAACACTTCTCAAATGGAGTTTCAGTATAAAACCAAATGAGCATCTTCCAGCTTCGTTTCTAACAGAATAATTTGACTGCATTGTTGCAGAGAGGCTACAAGCTGGTTCCTAATAGAAACAGAAAGTTCTGCAAAAAAAATAAAATATGTTCCATATTTTCCTAACAGAGCACTTCACTCTCAGACTGCAGGTTTACTTGTGGTTCCTAGAGTTTCCAAAAACAGAATGGGAGGAAGATCTTTCAGTTATCAGGCTCCTCTCTTGTGGAACCAACTTCCAGTTTCTGTCCGTGAGGCTGACACATGGTCCAGTTTTAAGACTTTCCTTTGTGATAAATCTTATAGTTAGGGTCAGCTTAATTTCTGACCTCATCTTGAGCAGCTATAGGCTTAGACTACTAGAGGACAAATTGATCTCATTTCAACAAATGAATAGCTATAAATGAATGAAATGAATACTTTGCATTTGCAATTATTTCTATCCAACATGTGGTTATGTTTTTTTTTTTTTGGTCTTTCCTCCTAGTGGGGGACCTGCTCGCCTCCATTCTGGACCTGTCGTTCTGTGTCCATTTCTCCTTCCTGTCCTCTGAAACCCAGCCAGTCAAAGCAGACGGCTGCATGTCCTGAGTCTGGTTCTGCTGGAGGTTTCTTCCTGTTACGAGGGAGTTTTTTCTAACCACTGTTGCCTTGTGCTTGCTCAGGATGAGAGACTGCGACGAAATGAAGACTCGATGCAATCTGCTGGCTACCCTACCCTAGATAAGTAATGTTATTAATTAAATTTTTATGTATATGAATGTGGGCAGCACGGTGGCACAACAGGTAGAGCTGCTGCCTCTCAGCGAGCAGGTCCTTGGTTCAAACCCCGGTCCAGGGGCCTTTCTGGGTGGAGTTTGCATGTTCTCTCCGTGCATGCGTGGGTTTTCTCCGGGTGCTCCGGTTTCCTCCCACAGACCAAAAACATGCATGTTAGGCTGATTGGTAACGCTAAATTGTCCCTAGGTGTGAGTGAGAGAGTGAATGGTTGTTTGTCTCGTTTGTCTCTATGTGGCCCTGTGATGGACTTGCGACCCGTCCAGGGTGTACCCCGCCCCTCGCACAGAGACTGCTGGACATGGGCACCAGCGACCCCCGTGACCCAAAATGGAATAAACGGGTAAAGATAATGGATTGGATATGTATATGAATGTATTTGTACAGTACCCTGAGACAACTTCTGTTGTGACTTGGCGCTAGAGCTGCAACGATATGGACCAAAATGAATATCTCGACATTTTTTAGGATAAATAGCGATATACGATATATATTTTGATATTCAAACATCTGCTAAGCTCATGGCACAAACCAATGCAGACATGTTCCTGTTTGTAGTATTTTACATCACTTTATAATGTAGCCGTTTTTGTTTTGTTTTTTAATATCTTCTTCCATTTATTTTTTCAGTTCATATGATTTCTTTTATGATCGTCTACTGTTGTCATCATTATTTGTTAAAATCAGGTCTCTCTTGTAAATGAGTCTTGGGGCTCAATGAGACTAACCCATAAATAAAGGTTGAATAATTACATTTTTATTCTTTCCATAAAGTAAT